AGAGGCAATAATTATGTAAGGGTGCATGGTGGTTTTGGTTTTTAGGAGCTAAACAATGAAGGAAAATCTATGGGAAACTATCAATGAAGGACTATTAGATGAAATTTATATCAGTCAATGATCACTTGTTATTAAAACTCAAATGGATATTTGTTCATTCAGGTTAGTCTTTTATCAATAAATATATTTTCTCGTTTATACAACAAATCATTTTAAATTCACAAAAGTTCATTCAGGCTTGTTCTCTATTTAGATTTTGACAATAACTGGTCTTTGACTTATATAAATTTTTTTCAAAAGTCTTTGATTGATATTTTCCCAAAATCTATTCTTGATTTCTCCTTAACATATGATTTCAAGACTGCCAACACTTATTTCAAGAAGAGGAATGAACATCTCATCACTTATAAAAGTAGAGCCTCAGAGTCACAGATTGATTTCCTTTTAGTAAAGAACACGATTAGAGGGCTCTGTAAAAATTATAAGTTATGGAGACGTCATAACAATATAACCTAAGGTCCTCGTCCTTGATGTGTGTATTATGAGTAAAAAGCAAAAGTATCAACAAGTGGTAATTCCAAGGATAATGTGGTGGCAATTAAAAGGTGAGAATCAAAAATTTTTAAGAGAAATCTTTTAGCCAAAGGAATCTGTGAGTCCCAGGAAAGTGCCAGCATCTTATGGGTAGAGGTGGGAATATATGCCAACTCGGGCCATATGAATATAGGTTGAAAGAAATGTGGGTTGAGTTGGGTTCAACTCATTTTTTATGGGTTGAAAAAATCCTAACTCAACCCTTAAGGTTGGCGGGTTAAATGAGTTAACCCGCCAACCCATTTATTTATTTATTATGATTTTTTAAAAAAATATATTAAAATAAAAATTTTTAATTTGATATTCCTTCATGATTCATTTTAAATATATCAAATATTAATTTATAATGTTTTTACAGAATAGATAAATTAATCTAGCTAAGTAAGTCATGTCTACTATGGTTTATATCTATAAAATTTTTTCCTTTTTTTCTTTTTTGATTTTTTTAAAAATAATATGGGTTGAATGGGCTAACCCTAATCCATTAGGGTTGACCCATATAGTTCATGGATTATATGGTCTGTGTCAGAAAAACCTGTTTTTATTTAGGTTAATTTTTTTTTCAACTCAACTCAACCCTTATAACTGATTATTCAGGCCAACCCATATAACCTAACCCATATTCCTGGCTCTACTTGTGGGAGGATGTGGTTAACGAGGTAAAGAATGTTGTTAAATAAGTTTTGGGAGAATCAAAAGGTTTTGGTTTGAGAGATAAGGAGTCTTGGTGGTGGACTGATAATATATAGGAAAAAAGTCAAACATAAGAATTAGTGTTTTAAAGCCATCCATTTATACAATAATAATGAAAATTGGGAAATGAATTGTATGGCTCAAAAGGAAAATAAGAAAGCTATGAGTGAAACTCATTCTAAAATATTTAAAGAGTTTTATACTAGCCTTGAGATAAATAATGGATAATGAAAAATTTACAAGATTGCTAAGAGTTGGGAAAGAAAATCAAAAGTTCTGGAGCAAGTAAGGTACATAAAGGATAAAGGGAGAAGAGTTTTGGTCACAGATAGTGATATTAAAGATAGATAGAAGACATGCTTTTCCAAACTTTTTAGTGATGGAGGGGGCTTGTTTAGTAACTTAGAGAATTTAATAACTTGTGAAGGAGATCAAAATTTAAAATTCTATCAAAGGATCCACAATAGTGAGATAAACGAAGCTCTTAAAAAATGATAAATGTTAGAGGTAATGGGCTCGATTATATCCTCATTGAAGTGTGAAAATGTTTAAGTAAGGAAAATATGTGGTGGCCAACTAAGTTATTTAATGAGATCCTATGGTCCAAAAAAATGTCTGATGATTAAAGGAAAAGCACTGTAGTTCCTATTTAAAAAAATAAAGGGGATATTCATAATTGTACTAACTATAGAATGATTAAATTTATTAGTCATACAATAAAATTGTGAGAAAGAGTGATTGAGTATAGGTTAAGATTAGATACTAGTATTTTTTTTAGAATCAGTTTGGCTTTATGTTAGATAGGGTAACTATAAAAGAAATTCATCTACTAAGGGATTAATAGAAAACTATTGACGTAAAGGTAAATATTTACACATAGTTTTCATTGATTTGGAAAAATTTTATAATCGTGTATTGAGAGAAATCTCTAGAAAGCATTGGAAAAGAAGGGTTTACTTATATAAAAACTATACAAAATATGTAGGAGGAAGCAACAATTAGCATTAAAATGTCTGGAGGTGAAACAAAGGACTTTTTTATAAGGGTTGAACTACATCAAGAATCATCTTTGAGTCCTTATTTGTTTAACTCGGTCCTAGATATACTAAACATATTCAAGAGAAAATCTCCAAATGCATGTTTTTCATGAACGATATAGTTTTTATCAAGGAGACAAGAGAAAAAATTAACTATAAATTTTAGTTATGAAGGAAAACATAGTAGTTAAAAGGTTTTCACCTAAGTAAGAATAAGATGAAATATTTGTATTATAATTTTGATAAAAATTTAGTCAATAGTAATTTGAAAGTGAAATCAAGAGATTGTATTATACCTCAAGTAAAAAAATTTAGATATTTGATAGCTATTATTTAACATGATAGAGAAATTGATAGGGATATTGTGCATAAGATATAAGCCGAGTAGTTTAATTGAAGAAAAATTAAAGGAATTATTTGTGATCATAAGGTACCTAATAAATTTAAAGAAAAATTTTATCTAACTGTTATAAAACCATATATGTTATATGGCAATGAACGTTGGGTGATAATGGGACATCAAGAGCATAAAATTAGAGCAGTAAAAATAAGAACGTTGAGATGAATGTGCAGGCATACATGTAAAGATAAAATCACATATATAAGAAAAAATGGATGTAGCACCTATTGAAGGGAAAATGATAGAATATCATTTGAGATTGTTTGGACATGTAAAAAGAAAACTATAGGAGACACCAGTGAGGAGAGTGAAATGGATAATTTTAAACCCTGTTAAGAGGAGTAAATGAAGGCCAAAGAGCATACCTGTGGAAGTTATTGATCAATACCTCTTAGTTAATAATATTTCAAAAAATTTGATAAATGATAGAGTACAATAGTGTCATATAATTTATATAACCGATCTCATCTAGTGAAATAAAGACTAGTTACTGTTATCATCATCATTTATATAAAAAAATTACATATTGGTTTTCTTAAAATGTCTCTTCTTTTCTTTAATCATTTACCTTGAACACTCATTACTCATTACACATATTAATTCGTACAAACAATAAAAAGTAACCCCAAAAAAAAAAATAAAAAAAATTCTATTAAAATATATAAATGACAACGAGATCTTGCAAAATGTTATAATTCTTCTCAAATTCTTAAGAATTTATCTAACATTAATTATTTTTAATAAATGATTAAAATACTCTCAATTTAAACTAGAGTAGTAATTGTTAATTTGTTACAGTCATTTTCAAAAAAAAATCATTCCTTAAATTAAAGTAACAACAAATATTTATAACACTTAAATTTTAGTTAATAGAAAATTTTTACAGAAAAAAATTGTAATTGCATGGCCGTTTTAGTTATTGTCAAAAAAAATAATTATTATTTAAATTAAAATAATAACTGATATTTACTTTTCTTAGAGTCATAACTATTACTTTTTAATTTAAACTGGAGTATTTTGGTCATATGTCATTTTTCAAAAAAAAAAAAAACAATGGTGCAAGCAACGGTTATGCGCGTAATATATTAAATAAACAAAAAAATTGGTAGAAAAATTAGAGACACCCTTTAGGCGAAATGAAATAATTATTAAATGTAAAACATTATATATCCAGACAAAACTTAGTATAATAAAAATAGATGTCGTTGAGACACAGACCCATATTAGTAAACTAGAGTTAGGAATAAGGGTCAGGTTTGACGGGCCGCCCGTTTAAGCCTGTTTTAATAAGGGTTTAGGCTTAAAAATTTGACATTTTTTAAGGTAATCGGGCTTCGAAGTCTGGCCCTTTTAAGCTCTAGAAAAACGGGCTCAGGCCCGGGCGGTCCGTGAAGTCCGTTTTACTATTCACAAAGTATTGTTTTCACCTCTTTCCAGATAATGTGCAAACATTGATTTGTATTTTGTACCAACAATTGGTTGAATTGCTTTGTGCCATTTTATAGTAATTTTTATATTTTATCTTGTGATATATGTATAGATATATATTTGATAATAAAACAATTTAATTAATAATTATTGTAGGTGATGATGAAGAAACTGCAGAAATAATTAATATTGAGTCTCCGCCTTCATCTTTCACAAGTGAACCTACATCTGAGGGTTTTAATATTTTATTTATGTATGATAATGAGGGAAATCTTGATTAGGATTGATGATGATGTTTGCCTTCATCTTATTTGTACTTTTAAATTTTTTGTTCATTTTTTAGATTATGTGAGACTTTAGTTTGATATATGTTAAGTTTTAAAATATTCTAAATAAATTTTAATGTTGAATTTTATTTTATTTTATTTTATTTTTATCCGAGCTTACGAGCCTGGCCTTGAACCCTATGAATAAGGGCTGAGCTTTAATTTTAAGGTAAAATTGAGGTAACTAAATTTCAGGGCTTAGGCTCATAAGAATTGAGTTCATATGAACTAGGTCCGCTTGTTTGCCAACTCTATGGTAAACTAATTTCACCATACTAATTTTACCACGCGAAATCAAAAAGCATCTATGCTTTAGTATCAAGTCATCAGTATCAATGATTTATTCGGCAAGAAAAGTTATAAATACATGTCCAGAAATTTATCCTTTCGTACGGCAGGTTTTTTCTGGCAAATTAAATAGTATCGCGGGTTTTTGACTTTTTGGTATTATATATTTCCATGTCGCACTCGAAACCCTACAACGGTGAGACAGAAACCGACACGAGACAACCCAGGACGATGTGATAGAAGAAAAATCACGCCATGTTCTATTTTTTGCTTCTTTACCGATCCCGGATGATGAATTAATACAGTCACAGTGCATTCATTCACTTGCCTCTTCAAGATAATTTCCTAGACTCGAGGAAATCCTTTCTCTTGAGTTCTCTGGTGGAAAGGTACTCGAGAAAGTCGCCAAAATTGGTGTCCTTGTAGAGCTTCCGATTCGTCTCGTTAACGAGTTTTGACGACGGCCTGACCGTGTAGCTGAACGGAAGGCTATGCAGAGACACCACCGATATTCGACTCTTCGCCGCGTTCACCAAAGCCCTGTGCAGGACGCTCTTGTATTTGCCATTACTAAATATCTGATCCATACAAACACCAAACATTAACACGATAATCGATATATATAACTGTTTCATTATTCTTCTTTTAATTTTTTACTGCTAGTTTCTACAAATGATACAGACGTGGTTTTAATAAAGAAACCTACCTCTAAGTGATCGCCAAGGTTGACGACAAAAGTGTTGGGGACAGGGCGAACAGTGACCCATTGGGCTTGATGTTGGATCTGCAAGCCCTCAACGTCGTCTTGGAGGAGAAGCGTGAGGAAGCCATAATCGGAGTGAGGAGGAATCCCAAGGGTTAGGTCTGGTTCTGGACATGTTGGGTAGTAATTGGCCACGATCATTTGGCTCCCATCTTGGAAACCTTTTAACATGTCTTCTTCTTCTGTCTCGTCTTGTTTTTCGGCTCCCAGAATTCCCAAGCCCAGGCTCTCTAAAATGGCCTCCATTAACGTTAGAAACAAGCTTCTGGTTCTTTCTGCGTAGGTAGCGGCCACTTTCCTTTTCAAGAATTAAAATACGGCTGTCACCACACAGTTAAAACTGGCTCTCATGCCGTAATGTGACGTTTTTTAAGATAGCGAACAAGAGATTAAAAGTAAATAAAAAAAACACTAACTAAAAGGGATATGTCAATGTGCGGCTATTCTGCTAAATAAATGAATGAGTTATTATATATTACGCAAAATACTTAGCTCACCGCAAGTCTACAGGGGAAGGAGGCCAATGGGGAAGGAAATCGGGTAAGGGATGGCACAAGAGTTTGAGGAAGTCCCTCCAGCAGAAGACAGTGTCTCTGGTGGGGCTGTAACTAGTCCCATATCGAACAGGGGCTTGCACGTCTGTTGTCATGTACCTCGCTCTTTCCTCGTAAGGAAGATCAAAGAACCTCTTACTCACGTCCATCATACTCCTCAGAACATCCTCTGGAATCCCATGATTCACCAGCTGAAAATAAAAAAAGTCAACGCTTAAGTATCATGTTCATATCAGACCATTATTCCATTAATATATTCCAATTTCCTGATCTTCAATCACTGATGACCGGAGAAATTATACTCCATAGTCCATACATATAATACCCACCTGGAAAAAGCCGTAGTGCTCGCAGGCATGAGAGAGGGAATGAAGGACTCGGGGCCTATTGGGTCCTAGCAACCCAGCAAAATCAATGATGGGCAGCTGAATTAGATTTGAATCGGGAACATTTTGGTCTTCCACGATGGTACTGGGGCGGTCCGAAGCAGGGAATATATACTTGTCAGGGACCCTGTGAAGGCCATCATCGGAAAGCTGTTTCACCCCTTTGTAAAGGTACCGGCTTTCTGGTGTCTCAGCTCCGTCGCTGCTCTCGCGAGTTATCACCATTGCAGGAGACATGTATAATAGAGGATAAATTCAAGTGGCTGCAGAATGGTTTATGGGAATTAAAAGGAACACGAGGGTATGTTGCGTGTTGGGTTTTGATTAATGTGTAGTGCATAAGCGGGTATATATGGACGATTATTGAGGAAGATAGAGGAAGGAAGGTGGTGGGGTAAGGCATAGTGTCAAGTTTTGAGGGAAGGAGCTCGAGGTTTCTGAATTCAGAGGACTGCTTCGCCATCATTAATTCCATTTAAAAAAGAGCGTTGACAAAAGTTTCAGTCAGAACACGATGGAGGAGAAGTGGAGGGGATCATATGGAACTATTCAAGTATAATGTATTGTCTCTTTCCCTGCAGGACCTACGTCACTGACTCACTGTCTACATTATCATAATTCGTTTCTCTTGGGGATGGTGAGGTGGAAATTAATTATTTATGGATTAATTAAAATATAATAGAGTTTACCATGAAAGGCTGACTACTGGGAATGCATTGACTCACTTTACAATTTTTGCTACAGTCTTGCTGAGCTCGAGTTAAAGATCCCTGCAGGGTCATTCTCCCTCCCATAGAAGTCCTTTGTATTTCAATTTTTTTTTAGCTAGCTTTTTCTATTGGGATGTTAAGCGTAAGTTTACTTGGTTTGATTTTAAAAATAAAATAAAAATCACACATCTAAAGAAGGGGTATATAAGTAAAAAATACCCATAAATTTAATGCCTTAAGATTTAATTTTGAGTTAAAATATAGTGTTAAATTCATTTTTATGTTTTCTTGTAATTGTTGGGCGAACTAGTTTATGCTCTACCCTTTTTCGAGATGTTCCCAGGCCAACATTTCTTAAAAGAGGTTTACATTATTTACTAAACACACTATCTTATTTCATTTAATCAAAGTATTTCCTTTCTATTGTTATATTCTAGCCCAAACTCAACATTTGAGGACGCTGTAGTAAGGAATTTTAAGAATCGTTTCATTAATTGAATAGAAGTCAAGACATTCAGCTGAGACCGTTCCGATCTCTTGCGCTCCTAGCATATTTTGCCCCTATCACATCCATAAATTTGTACGGCAAGTCCTTAAAATTTTAACGATAACTGGGGTCATTGAAAATAATTAGATATGTTTCTCTTTGCGTGACATTAACTCTGGAAGGTCTGATATATAATTGCTATATGTATACGTGTCATGTAATATAATTCGAGTATTCGATCGACAATCAATGCCCCTGCTTCGCAGTCACATGTATTAGAATTGCACAGGTTTTGGTCGGTTGGACTGTAATGCTTTTGAACTCTCTGGCGGGCAAGAGCTGTTATTAATGGAATAAAAATTGAGCACTGATGTAAAAGAGAAATGCAATTGGATGATCATTCACAAAAGTCACATCGACGAACTGAACCACAAGGATGAAGATGATTTGATGACGTGTTCATACGATACTCGGACGACCAGGGCCAGCTTGAATTTTTATGTGGGGAGGGTTCATGCACTAAGTCGTTGCAGGGTTATACAATTAGAGGGATGTCCAACCAACTTGGTTGTTTGGTAGGCCATACCTACTTGGTATGAAGTTGATCTTGGAGACTAGACTAAGTCGAACATCTAGTCAATGTCAACCTTGGTCGCCCTGCCTAAGGCAAACGTATATGTCATTTTAATTTTGTTATGAACATTGATTGATTTTTATGTAATAAATTGATCTATCATTTATATTTCAAGGGAATATATTTTAGATGCGATAATTATGTATTGTACATTTAATTTTTTTATTTTCTTTTTAAATTTTCAATTATTTTTTCAGGACGGGCCAAATCTTGTATTGTATGCATGTTGAGGCGATCGAGACCAAGTTTATGATTAGCTATATTCACTGACTTTTGCGTTTTAGATTAGATGATCATGCTTGTTTCGTCAAGTGGACCGGCATGGTTAGTGAACTTGACGATCCCTGTCGACCTTCATCAATGAGCCCTTCATTGCATCACAAGTAATAAAATATATAGATGTTTATCAAGGTCAAATGATATCCCTCTCGCAACAAATCCAGATCAGACATATATAGTGTAATTTATTTGGTCAACAAATTGACGTACTATTTATTGCTTAATTTACAAAATTATGGATATAACCCCTATGATAACTTCAGAAATCAGAATGTTGTCGTAATTAAAGATGCGCAAGTTTGATGTTCACACACCGAGAAATTGATGCCGTAATTCAATTTATAACCACACCGATCAAGATGCCTTGTTTCTAATTAGCTTAACAAGATCTCTGATCCTGCGCATGTCTCGATTGCTGGTAGATATGCTGGCAAGTTAAATATCAACTTGTTTTTTCAGCCTTCGTCACACCTTGTGTTTCCATCTCAAACATTTCAATTCATTTTCCAATTTAGCATGCACATATACTACTAAATTCATTAAGAAAACAAACAGTAGTGGATTTAAGGATTAGCGTACGTGTATGTACGTGTGTGTGTGTGTACAAGCAATTAGTCCCCCGAATTAATAAGTTTAATAAAATTACATGCCTTGCTTGAAAAAAGAAAAAAAAAAAAAAGCCAAAGCATATAACACTGGAAACGCGGAGATTAAGAATAATTCAGGAGCTCCTGTTTTTGTAGTTTGCTGTGTGCCTGTTTTTTTAAAAAGCATATAAATAAATAAATTAGACGACACAGCCCCAGCCACACGGACGCTACTGTATTCTATATAGAGAGTCATGCTTCTCTTTGTCAAGGATCACTTCAAACAAGTCCATTTCTTGTCCCCCTTCCTCTATTCTGCTTTCCCAGTGTCCGAACACAAGCATCCAAGGCAGTCAAGCGTCTTATGCAAGCTTCATTGCTTTTTCTTGACAGGGATGGGTTCCAGTCAAGCCTCTGGCACGCCCCTCCTGCCAATCAAAATAACTTAATGCTATGTTTGGATATATAGGAATTTGAATTTGAACCAAATTTACTGTTTGGATTATTAAAAATGTATGAATTTAGATTTGACTCAAATTTAAATTCAAGTCCTACATCAATTTTTTTATAATTTAAAATTCTTTATCAACTTCTATTATTTCAAATCCTATTTCAATATCTTTGTAATTTGACTAGCTCAATGATGGTGCCAAACGCATGATCATCAAATTGCCAGTGGTGAAACGATCTACTTCCATCAGGAGCAAACTACCAGCGTCAGTCAAGACCAGACAACTAACTTTCATTGAGATTGAATTGCAAGCAATTGGCTTTCACAAGGATCAAACCCCTAGCATTGACAGGGATAGAACCACTGGTGTTGACCAGGATAGGATTGCCGGCCCTAACTGAGACTAGACAACCACCCACGATCGGGATCAGATGACAAGATCCCATCGTGATCAAAACCAACGACTTCAATCGGGATTGAATTGGTGGCCTCGACTAGGACCGCACTAGAAAATTGGTTAAAATGATCAAATAATAAACATATTTAGAATTTAAAATTTTAATTAAGATCCAAATAAAAGATTTTAATATCATAATTTAAAATTTTTTATATAATCCCAACAAAGAATTTATAATTTATAAATTTTAATTGTGAGATTTTAAATTTAAATTTTCAATTCAAATTCACCTATCCAGACGCTATCCAAAGGAATTTGTTTCGCCCAACTTGCCTGCTTCATTTTCTTTTTAATTCCGAGTAAGGCTTGTGACCCAATTAGTTACAAAATCTGAGAGTTTTCAAAAGCTGGGCGATGCAGAATAGTATAAGAGGAAAAAGACAAAGCCATATCGTGCGATTTGATTTTAATTGGTACGGGTTCATGATTCTTATCACAAAATTAACCCCCACCGCAATAATAAATTGAACCCAAAGAAAGGAAAAAAACAAAGGAGGAAAGACCTGTCTACTCAACCCTATTCATGATGGAAGGTTTTGGTGGATTTGTCCAACCCAGGATACCCTACTTATTGAAGCATAACTTTTCGAGTGTCGGGGTCTTATCCGGCGCCTGAGTAAATCAGGATTATGATTTAAGTTAGTGTTATCAACTCATGCATTATAGCTATTGAACGCTCAAGTCTGTGAATATACGTAGCAGAGAATAGATTATAGATGCCTATGTTTGTAACTTGATTGAAAAGGATCGATTTTTATTTTTTTGCAACTTCCAAACACAAAATCACTCTCACATTGCTTAAGATGAATGGCTTTTCACACACTTTGTTAATAAACGTGAATGTGCGCCTCAATATATGTTATACATAGCTAAGTAGCTAGCCAGCTAGAGAGCCTTTAATTCAGTAAGTAAACGACATGAACCCCATTTGGTTAATTATATGTCATGGAACTAATTAATAACTCTGAAGGAAGTGCCGTTTCGTCGCATCGACGACGACATCGGGCGGTACTGCAGGAGCAATGGATTTATGCATGGCAAGAATTGCTGATTTGTGTGGCCCCGGAGAGGGAGTGGAATGCTTCACGCTTCCAAGTTGGGCAAGTCTTGTCGTTTTGCCCTCGATGCGTTGTATATGCATAGTGAAGCTAGGTCTAGGTCCACCTCAGCTCGATGATATTGGAATTGGGGCATGAGCTACAGGCTACGATCAACAAACGGTTCATATTTAACGATCTGTCACGTTATCACGTCTCTCTGGTTTTTCGGGTAGCTATTCCATAAACGGTGAGCGGTTTCTTTCATCAACCTTGGACTTTCTGAGGGTTCCTCGCGATTGTCGTCGAGGAAACGAAACGCGTGACGTCATTATTTGGCACTTTCTTTCGGCTATGGTGAAGCATTTCAGGACGGATTTTGATTCGATAACTATATTTAATATAGATATTAAATATTTATATTATTTAAATTATTAAAATTTATATTAATAGTTATAAATTTATACTTCACTTGATATTAATAAATGAGTAAGTGTATTTAAAATATTGATCTAAATTTCAACAACTCAGATGATACAGGTATTCAATGTCTATGCTAAGTACAGTCATAGAATTCAAATCCTTTTAAGATTACATTTAGAACGCGTATGATATACCGCAGAATTTGCCGACATTATTTATTATGAATAATCAAGTTAAGGGGAAATTATATTTAGGATCTATAACCATCGAATATTTATTTTAATAAAAGAACATAAAAATTCTAATTAAATTGAAGGACCAAAATATACCAGGTAGACTATTTTGCCCTTATTTAAGACATTTGGTTAAATGACTGCATTATGTTAATCGGTATTTTGTTTCTGTTTTTCTTTTCTCCGGTTTTAGACTTGGGTGCGTCGACTGGCATTCAACAATTTCAATAACACTTGCTTTCTTGATTCCTCCAGAATGTGTCCTATAGTAATTTTTAATTCAAAATATAGAATACTTTGTGATAATTTTTTTCTTCAATTTTACATTTTTTTTATTAATATAAATATATTTAATATAGTTGTGTTATGATTTAAAGCTAATTGTAAAAAAAAAAGGCGCATCTCATATTTATGATATCAAGAAAAAATAATTTTTCTTAAAACATTTAAACGGTTGAAAGTATTGTACAATAAAAATTAAGAGAGTGTATGGAGTGGTTTTTAGCAATTAAAGAGATTCTTATTGAACTGAATACTCTTCACTCAATCAAATGAATTAAAAATAAATTCACATACACGAGAATATGATATACATAAATTCACATACACGAGAACATGATATACGAGACACATGAACTTCGACGAATACTCATTTACTGGTAAACGAAATTACAAAACTAAGATGTGGGGTCGGATAATTCTAGAGATTTGACAGGGATAATTTAGCATTTTTAAATTTACATTTTAGTAGTTAGTCCTCTTTAACAATTATCATTTTCAAAGTCCTCTCCAATAAATATTATTCTCACCTGGTCTCCGCTCTAATTTCCTCTTCTAAGAATCATAATCGAACATTAGAATATTCATATTTCAGTGGCCGAGAGCCGAATGCTATAGGGCATGCAAGTCGACTCTTAGTTATTGGGCCTACACATGCTGGATTTACTTTATGAAGCTGCGAACGCTACCAACTGGGCTAGTTTATAGGAACATCCTGCTCCTTCCATCTGTTTAGTGTCGAAATCAAGGGTCCAAGAGATTATTGTTCACACCCCACAACAAAAAAATACATTTTTAAAAAAATTAATAAAAAATTAAGTCTTGAAACAAATTAAATATTTTTTATTTATCTATTTATATGTTTGGATTGAGAATGACGTAAAAAAATATGACTGTGCACGGAGCTTGTATTACATTTTTGTATCTAGCATTTTTTAATACTTTTCCCAAATGCAACACCGTACTTGCACGTCCACAAACACACACTCACACACAAGATGTTTTTCGGCTTGACACACACATGCATATCTTAATTGTAATTTAGATATAGTTTGCTAAAACCAGTCCCACAACAAAATGCAGACTGTTCGTTAGTTAGGCTCCCCCCCCCCCCGGGGGGTTTTTTTCAATGATAGTTTGAGGTGAATACCGCAAATCATGAAGAATTTTTCGACGCCATTATTTCATGTTCAGCTTATTGTAACTCGACGTTAAAACACAAGGATAACTTAATCAAATCATAAAGTTGAGGTGAGGGTGCGACAAAGTTACTTTTTTAAACTTAAAGTAATCTTGTTCCACCTACTCACTTAATTAGTTTAATTTTAGGATGACACACGCTTTTTAAAAAAATTGAAAACCTTGATGGGTACCCATCAATTCACATCTACTCCACCTAATTGTTTTGGATGATGCTATGTTAACAATAAAACCATTCGCCATTTGTTACTCTATATCTATTTCCCCTAATCATTCCAAAACAATATTCAAACAAAATGGAGGTGAAGGCTTGGTCACAGCTAGTAAAATTTCAAGCAGCGAAAAAGCAAAACACAAAATAAGAGGCTGAGTCGTTTAATCAATTAGGTGGGTAAAACTGGTAACGATAAATAACTAAATTTTGTCCCAATATTACATTTTCATGCACGTAACAATAAATAAAGGGGTGTGTGTGTGTGTGTATATAAAGAATAAAAGAAAAAGGTGTAGTTATGGTTGAGTGAAAAGGGGCATGTGGATGGTGGGGCATTGAAAACTAGAAAACGGACTCCACAAAAAGACTTGCTTTCCAAATTCCTCATGATATGTACACCCCTCAACCATCAATTATTAAACAAATCCTCTTGCATTATTGATTCTTCAATTTGTTGTTTCCAGACCCAGTCCCGAAAACAAGGAACTTTCCTACCTCTATACTTTTCCCTTTCTTTTTCACTCATGGACAACTCCAAAGGCTATCTTCCTCCCTTTTTCTTCTTTATTTTTTTCGAAAAGGAATAAATTATACTAACCAGCTGAGAGGGGTTGAATTGAAATATTTACCAGTTTTGAGGGCGAAGATGATAATTATTATTAGGAGGCAAAAGGAGCCCTATGAGGGACGCCTTTTCTTCTTCTTGCAGATGAAGCCGGTGGAGGAGGAGGCGTGGCCGGGTACATATCTTGCTGTGACCCTTCACGCAATTCTTCTTCTCGTCTGGAAGACACCGATCCTTTTGACAATGCCTCGTCCAAACCAAAGCTCGCATTCCCATTTCTCTTTATTCCTACAAGCTAAATCATGCATTTTTCCCGCAGAATCTTTTTAGTATATATATATATATATATATATATATTATATTCACTTCAACTCTCGTCATGTTCTCATTAAGGTTCAGTAATTATATCCCTACAAAGGTCGAGCTGTAGAGTTTAAACTAAATAATTATGATAGTATTGATGATGATGATGGGGATTCATTAATTATATATATACATATTAATTAAGATGAGCGTGCTGGCCTAGAGGGATGGAAATGATGATGAATAGTGGTGGGAATATATATAATGATGATGGGGAAAATGTGATGGTGATGGGTTTGGCAATGTAGGTGAAGATGCGTGGGTGGTGGGTGTTAGAGGCATATGAGGGAAAGCATGGTTGAGTTGTAAATGATGTGCATGTTGACAGTGATATATATGAAAACATTTGTGAGGCGAGAGAGAGAGATGGCTGACCTTACATCCCAAAGAACAAAAACGAAATGGGTCCAAGAGGCTTCTTCCACAAATCTCGCAAATGTGAGCTCCTCCTCCTTTCCCAGATGATGATTTTGGCTGAGGCCTTTCGTTCAGAAACAGCACTCGTGCACTGTTTATCACATACGTCTGTACTCCACTTATATCCAGTACCTTCTGGATTTCTGCAACTCTCACTACATCGTGATACGAAGATCTTCTTATCTGCAGATCACACCAAGTAATCAACAATGCCGGCCCATTGTGATTATTCACAATTTGAATCATTCTCAAATATATACAAATTAAATCATCCACATCAAAGAACAACGCACTTCAATTATAATAATCCGGATAAACAAAACGGATGGAACCTGAATAACTTGATGATCCTTGTGCCTTGAGGAACGGCAGTAAAAGCAAAACGGGTCGCCATTGCAATCCAGACAATACATGTTACACTCGCTCCTGGCGGCGTCTCCGTGAATCCGGCAAACGCTGAAAAACGAAGCGTTCAGGAGCGGTTCGAGCCATGGAGGGACCAACATTGTGTCCTGCGCCCAAACACGAATAAGTGAGACTGTAAAAACCGATCAAACAAATTTCAGAGAGACGAATAGATCTGCGAGACTAGAACATATATTATTATACCAGTTCAATTAAGAGGCGAATCTGCGCCGTCGACGGGTTAAGGGAGAAACGATGGCGAATAGTAGTACTGTTGGGATCAAGTCGTAGGATCGATGACGTCAGTGGCGGAGTATTGAGAGGAGAGTTGCAGGAGAAAATGCAGAGAAGGAGAAAGACAGAGAGTAAACGGCATTCAACTTTGGAACCCAAGAACACGAGCAGGTTAAAGACTAAGAAGACAAAGGCTAATTATACAATTGCGGCTCAGGACCGGGTATTACTGGACGGTTGAGATGGGAAGCGGTGGCTGTGAGATTCACAGAGCCGTTGGATGCGGGGCGAGAACGGGTGTCGTTGGCGCTTGCGCCTCTTTGGATCTTCTTTGCGTCTCTACGGTGGCACCGGGCCGGCTACTTGGTTACGCCTCGCCCCTATAGCTGTATCTTTCAAATTCGTCCACGCCCTCTGGTGTCCACGTGTCATCATGCCCACGGTCCATCCTGTTCCGGAGGGTCCCCCCTTTGCCCCCATATTATATGTAATAATTTGTTAATTGTTGATATAATTTAAACTCATTTTTATTATTTGAATTTATTTTTTTACCAGTATCATTCGAATTTATAAACTCGCTTTTTCAAAATAATCAACTATGTTAACTTTTTTTTAAAGAAAAGTGAATTTGCATCCTCAATATTTCTCTCATTCATATGATTATTATCTATAACATAATATTTTTTCCGTTAAAACATGTATAACCCAAAACCCAAGTAATCATGTGAAATTCGTCGCCATACTCAAATCAACACTTTTAGAACATAACTGTCGTATATTAAAATGGCAGGTAAAATGTCATGTCACAGACATGAATCTTGAGCTTAATTGGCACTAAACGATCTCGTTTAAATATAAATATGCTTTGTTGTTTGCTCACTTATATCGTTTTTCTTTTGGGCAAAATATTATGATCCCAACCTAATCTTAGGGGGCAATCATAGGGATATGGTTAGCTAGTGGGATTCACAATTCCAAATACTTTGTAATGGACGAACAAAATGTAGATCGATATAGCATTAGCACCACCCAGGCGGAATATATACAATTCAAATATTATCTCACCGGATATATATCCAAATCGCAATTTAGGCACTCGCTAGGATTTTATCTTGTTCGCCTGGATATTAGATATATCCATCCACTTTAATAACTTTATATAGAAAAAATATATATCCATCCCACAATTACCAGATCTGCCCTTTGTGGCTCCGCTCCAAAGCTAAAATCACCCTTTACCAAAGAGCCTTTTTGCATTCCTTTAATTTCCAATCTCGTGTTGCAGACGTCGCATGACCCGTAAGAGGAAAAAAATTGTATACTTTCTCTTATACTATTTATAAATTATTTTTAATATATTTTATCAAAATTAAAAAAATTTTAAATTTTATTAATTTTATCTTAAAATTTAATAAATTTTTATCTTTATTTTTAATAAATATTCTTAAATTTTGTTATTAATATTTTTATTTAAAACATTTAATAAGAATAAAAATGTAAAGAGGAATATTAAAAATTAATAAGTATCTTATAAATAAGATTAAATTTTTTGTTTTCTTTCTACCGTATAAATAAGACCAGTATAATAACTCCAAAGGTCTCTTTTTTTTCCTCTTAATTTACTGATAAATTACTACATTCCGAGGATTATATTATATTGCCTAAAAGTGAAGCCAAAACCTGAAAATGTCCTCTCGCGCATCGCTTGCGTGAGAAGGAAAAGTGAAGATTGAACGGGAAGAGAAAAGCGTGGTGTTATGAAAGTGAACAATATAAAGACTGTAAGCAAAGGGCATTTATCCCGAGAAAAAGGCAAATGAAAGGGAAGGAAAGTATCGTTGATTATGTTAAAAGGATGCGAATAATGCGATAAAACCAGTGATTGAAGCTTCGCATCCAAACAAAGAGCCATATAAAGAAAAGTGTTTCCTGTCCTATATGCAACACAATTACAATATAAAATTGTTAAGACCTTCCTGTTAACACATGCTTCTGCTTTGGTATCCTTATCTTTGAATCGCAAGGTAAAAAATCTTAATTTGTCGATACAATTACGACACAAACAAAACAGCTTCCCTGGACGAACACAAAAATTACCTGGTTGGTTGAACGATAATTTATTTAGGCTCGTAATGGAAACGAGTTTGAGACCAGGTTTTTTTTTTTTTTTTTTAGCGAGATGCAGGAAAGAACTTTTACATTTAATGTTGTGGGCAAGACCGGCAACATGGGGATCTAATCACCCGCCTCCTCTCTTTTCGTCTCTTTTTTTTTCCACTTCTCTCCCCCTCCTTCTTCCAATCGATATCCTTACTAAACTTTTCTTTCTTTTTTTATTTTTTTAATGAAACTGGATATCAATAATTAACAATTAAACAAAGTAAAAAAACAAATAAAAAAAACTAAGCTCTTTCATTATCCTCCATCCCTAAGATTAGGAAATGGTTAATGATCAAAGAGAAAAAATATATTATCCAAAGTGTACAATGATGTAGCAAAAAATTCTGCATTCTTATTTTTGCCCATATTAATGTGATTAAAAATAATTCTACCCTCCCTGCAAAGTAAGACTCTAGCTTCTTTAATCAAGTCCTGACAAATGGTAGTCGTAGTTACACTCATTTATAACTAAATTCATGACTTCAATGCAATAGAGAAAACTTCAACATGGTAGATTCTCCTTGCCCAGCATAAGTGTAGACCTTGTATGATACCAGTAAGCTCAGCTATAGTTAGAGGAGTTGAAGCACCTAAATCGACAAATCCAATTATTAGTTCTATCTTGCAAGATCCCAACATATTCATTGCTCCCATTTTCTTTAACAGAGCCATCAGCATGGTCTCTACCAATTATGAACTAGGTCTCTATCAATAAAAGTTCTAAACAAATTACAACTACCTTTATTGGCAATACACATAAAGTTTGAATCAAATAAAATATTACATTGATTAATCCAAATGTCTCAACATATATCTAAATGGTAAGGGATTTTTCTTGTGAAGGCTTGACCTACTTCACGTTTCAAGTTCCATTTGATCCAATCCATCCTTAAAATAGAAAAAAACTCTCTTGAGCATCTTCTTTAAGAACATATTTTCAATGGTTGACTGCATTAGCATAATTGTGAAAGAGATGCATCAAATCCTCAACCAAGTTGCATCCAACTGGACACTTGTCACTGGATTTGATCCTTCTCTGGGTGCAAAGCGCCATGAGCTCTTCCATGTGTTTTTTCCTTTCATCGGCAATGGACTAATGGGGTATATTTTTTTCTTTCTACTATTTTTTTGCTTTCTGATTTTCTTGGATGAATGGTTTTTCTGCCTAACATAAATAAAGAAAAATATAATTAAATCTTGTAACAAATTTCTTTTTTACCCCATAACTAAGCACTGAGAGAAAAATATATAAAATTAATTAAACAAGTACAAAATATTTATACATTTAATCAAATACAATCTAAAATTTATAGCTATTTAATTACAATACATGCATTTATCAAGGAGCCCAAACGAAGGAGAGAAGCCCAATCTCTCTTCGTTACCTCATTATGTCCAAAAAAAAAAGATAAAAGAAATACTGTCCGAAAAAAGCTGGTAAGGGAGACCAAGGTATGAAAAAATATTTTTAATTAATTTCTAATTTGGTCATTTTATGGCTCAATGGAAGAATATGATGTATTTAGTTTTAGAGTATGGGAGTAATTTTAATCGAGGTAGGGAAAGAGGAAGAAGGGGGAATTTTAATGGACTTTCCTTTAGCGTAAAAAGGAAGAGAGAGAAATTAACAATGAGTTAATAATTTATTTTTATTAATTTTAAGTTGATTTTTATTTTTTTGATTTATTATTAAAAGTAGTTATATTATATTTTAGTAATTTTATTTTTTAAGAATATAAACTTATACGGATGACATTTTTTAAAAATAAATACATTAATATTATATTTTATCAGCATATTTAATAAAAATATTAAAATTTTAGATAATAAAAATTATATATCATTTTGTATAAAGTGATAACATTTATTTAATTATGAGAACGAGAGAGAGATAATATATAAATTTTTTTAATATCAAACATATTATATAATTTTTTAAATAATAAATAATTTATTTAATTTAAATTATTTTTTTTTTCTTTAAATAAATTTTAAATTGAAGAGGAGGTGTCTCTTTTAATTTTTTAATGAAATAAATTAGAGAAGGAGGGCAACTCACCTCGCTTTCCATTTTATTTCTTCCAAAAACCTCAAATCAAACACCTTATTGTTTTGGGCCAAAACTCGTGCTATCTTATTATTAATTTAATTATCAATTAATAAGAAAATAGGACAACGCGTACCGAAAGTTAGAAGCGTTGGTTTTGAGCGAAGCCGAGAACTATATCGGCAGCCAGAAGAAGACCGATTCATAAACAGTATTCGAGATAATTTCTTTCTTCTTCTTTCCGTCTCCCAGGATTAGTTTGTTCTGCTCCTTCGTCGGTTCGAGAATCAGGGTTTTGGATCTACTTCGGGATGTTTAGGTTTTGGTAATTATCTTCCCAAACCCTCATACTAGCTTTATCTTCGGCTTTTGATTCTTAATATAAGGAATTTGCTTCCTGTAGTGCCGTTCATTGAGGATTGATTACAATCACGCTTGTAGGCCATTTTGGTGTAGCAAGCATACTTAAGTTTGTACTTCACCCATACGTTGATGATGTTGACCTTGATCCTTCAAGAGGACTTCGTATTATATCTTGTCAATTCCACCTTTTATCTATATCATATACTTGTTTGTGTATTTTGATTCCATTGATTTTCTTAGGTTTGCGTATATTTTACTCTTTAAGAATAAAATTAAATTTCTATGCCCGTTCTTCATTTTGTTTTTCAGATAAATATGAAAATGCATTGCTAATGCTATCCGCTTGGCATTGTTAATGTACAAGGACAAGAGAAGAATAATTCTTGATGCTTGATTGTAGTTGTAGTGCCTGCAGTCATATTATTTGGCTCTGATGCTGTGACTGACACTGAGAGTGTAGTGATTATAAAATGAGTATGAACGATAATTTTCCTATCCTGATGCCACGGTTTTTTCTTTTTCCTAGGGCTACGTTTCTTTTTTTTTTTTGGCTATCGTGAATAATAATGTACTATGGGCGTTGTTATTATTATTATTATTATTATTATTATTATTTTTGCATTCAGGGGATCACCAGACAGACCATCTCAGCCACGCCCCCAGGATGGTTCTACTTCTACACAATCATGGTACCCTCCATCTGTGGTGACCTCACCCACTTCTTCTAGGCCTGCAACACCAAGTGGCACTTCCTCAAGCAGCTATGGTTCACAGAGGCCTGCAGAAAGATTGCAGTCTCCTTCACATGTGTCTCCCACTGAAGCTGCAGGAGTTATCACTCATTTGAAGGACAAAAGGTAAGGTACACCTTATTTTGAGCAACGATAAGCCACTTCTTTTAAGTGAAATTGAAAATTTAATCTGTCAGCAAAATTTTAGTTTGCCTTTTAAATAATTGATAATACGATGCCCAACTTTGTTTGGCAGCCTTATCTGTAAGACTTAAGCGTTCATGGGGATATTTGTTCTCTAAACATCAATGGGGAAGAACTTGGTAGAAATTATGGTTCAAATTTTATTTTTGCTGTGCAGTTTACATTTTGGTTGCGCGGTGCAAGTAGTAAACATGAAATGCCTGATATGTGCACTTTTTTAATCATGCTTTGCCATTGGAAATGAACTCATTTATGGATATTGTACGATGTATCTATTGTGTTTGTGAAATATTCTTTCATGGATTTAGCAATTCAAAGTCTTCTTAACTCTAAAGTTGTTCTTCTTTGCATTCTGTCAATGAATACTTGTCTGAGTGGCCCTGGTGGCTTCACTTGGCATTCCAAGTAACTCTAATAGTATAATGTTTCTGCATCTTTTATTCTTTTTAAATATTGATTATCTTGTTTCTCTTTTTCACTCTTCATAAATTGTTCAGTGCTGATGAGCTACGAAAGCTTTTATCTGACAAAGATGCTTACCAGCAATTTTTACTTTCGCTTGATCAGGTCAAAATTCAAAACAACGTAAGTTGCCTACTATTTCCTCTATTGTATTTATGCTGGTTTATTAATTTAGAAATTTTCAGTGTTAAATATATTTGATCTCTATTGTTCTATTGATTTGGAGCAGAGAGAAACTTAATTTTTTTAAAAATAGTTAATTTCATGAGATTGCTAAAGATAGCTGATGGCTGTTTTTGCCATATGGCCTAGTCTAGATATCTAGCTTTCCTATTTTGGTGGATGTTGAATTTTACTAATTCTACTTATGCATGAGCTACTAGTAATTCGTTCTTCAGAGACTTTGTAAGTGCTGAGACTGTGTTTGGTTTCTGAGCTATGTTTACTTCAAAAGTGTGCATTTGGGTTTGTATTGACATTATTGGGAAAAAAAAGTTATTTTTGAAGAGAAAAGAGAATGGTACAAAATCAGAGCAGTAGAGATCCTCTTCAATCAAAAGTTTTTAAAAAAAAAAACAAAAAAGGTGAAAAAGCCAAGGCTCTTTAACTCAAAAGAGCGTGGGCACTTTCCTAAAAATTCCTTTCACTGAAACCCACAAGGATGCAATAAAAGTAATCCTTTCACAAATAAGATGAGGAGGAATTAAATTCATTGAGTCTTCCGAGATATAATGTAAGAAGCTGCTGGGAACAGTTGATATGTGTTGACCTTACTCAACAATTGAATCCAATTGGAAATAAAATCTTCTGTTTGATATACAATGCAATAGATATATGAAAATGTAATAAAAAAAGTGATTTTGTGAATAAAAAAGTGCCCATTGTGTGTCTGAATAAAAATATAATAAAAAGGTATTATTGCTATTGGAAAATGACAACGGTCACATAATATTATATGTTTCAATTTTACTTGTGAAAGGAAGGGGATATGTTCTCATCTCTTTTACCGAATGAGCATCAGAAAACTATGGATTTTGGATTCTTTGTGCTCTGTGTAAAAGTTATTGTAGTTGTACTGATTCTCTTGCATAGGCTGGATTGCGTGTCTGCTCATATTTTTACCTACTCTTTGTTCCCATTTGATCAGTTGAAGGATGAACTTTGTAAGGAGACTACACAGCTTGCAGGTGAGTGTATACATACTTTGATGAGAGCGAGTTACATATATTTAAATCCTTTCGTGTGTGTGTGTGGCGACAGTGGCTAGCAGTTGAAGGTTTGAGAACTTTTTTAACTTTTTTTTTTTAATTTTCCAATTGCAGAGGAAAATCTGCAAAAGGAACCGCGTATTATGGAACTTAAAAATCAGGTAAGATGACTTTCTCCTGAGAAACACTCACAAATAACTAGTATTCTTTCTCATGCAACGCACAAGATATATTTAAAAAAAAATCGATACAATAAATGATAAATATTTGATAGACAACATCAAGTTGAATAGAATTAGTTTTTCAACATTATTTAGGACTACGACCTTTTCAGCATTAAATTATAGTTGTTCTTTATTTCTAAATACATCATTGAAAGCTTATCACCTCTTCATGCTATAGGATATATTGGTACTGTGTAAAGTACTTTGACTTGAATGAGGGATGTCCAGATGAACCACCTAAAAAAGAATCTGAAAAACAGGGCTCAGCAAAAACCATTAGATACAAGGTGTTTGTAGTGGCAATTATATACATCAACTAAATTCAGCATAAATTTGTTATGGACAGCATCAGAAATTTTTTTACTGGCAGCTATTATTTTCCCATTCACAAACCTTATCTTGTGCTAACCATGGAACCTTTTGCTCTTCTCCTTTGGGAACAGTGTAGAATAATTCGGACAACTGAGTTAGCCACTGCTCAAGAGAAACTAAATGAACTTGAGAAGCAGAAAGAACAAGCATTGAAGTTCAGTTCTCCAGCTTCCCGTCTTCAACAGCTTCAAGGTATGACATGAAATGGTTTGACCCTAAAAGTTCTCATGATAGCGAGATAGTTCATCCTTAAAAGTTAATGCTGGGTTTTCAGCTCAAAATAATGATAATGATGATGATGATGATTATAATAATAATGCTGGGGTTCATGGATATGGTAAAGCTTGTACGATGGTTTTTGCAGAGGCTATGAGTAGGACAGAAGAGGAATCTGAAAATCTGCACCAGCAACTCCTTGATAGAGAAATTGACCTTGGAACTTTCCTGCAGAAATACAAGAAGCTTCGTACTAATTACCACAAGAGAGCTCTCGTGCATCTTGCTGCTAGAACATCAAGTGTATGAGAGCCACGTTTGGGACATGCATACTTGGTAGGAAGCTTCTTATTTGCTCGAGGAAATTGATGTGTGCGCATTTGTTTGTGGGTTTATTGTTTGCCCATATAGAACTCATCCATTGGGGGTCCTTACCTATCATCCTCCCTTTTACTATAACGATTGGAATACTGTCTTGGATAAACGAGAAACGTTCATCTGTATAGATTGGGACTTTTCAGTTTACTTGTATCTAATCTTTGGCAATTTCGAGCTCAAACTTTCATACCAATTTTAGAAGAGTAACGGTGTTTTCTGTATTTACCTTTGTCTATTCTTTGTGATTGACGACCATCATGACTTTAATTATATCTAGCTTGTGTCGTTACACTTTGCGTGTTTAAATTTACTGTCCTGATTTTCCGAAAATAGACTTCTCAAGCTCAACGGGTTGGTGAATCATTGGGGAAGCAGCTAGAAGAACGTGGTCGTAATGGCCGAACATTCAGAAGATGTACTTCTGATGCTTAATTTTATTATTGCTAAATGACAACAATCTATGATTAATAGAGAAAAATGAAAGAAATAAGTTAACAGCAGAGACTTAGTCTAGGGTTCTTTCATAGGATTTAGTCAAAGTTCAGTCTACGTTAGGTATCTCCATGGCGAGAGGGTGTGCCGTGGTGGCAAGGGGCTTTTGCAGATCTACGCTTGGGAAATCCTGAGACGGGGCGGTAAACTGATCAGAGATGGTGAAGCTGGGTTCCAAGGGTGGATTGCTGATTAGCTATGGCTTGAAATGAAAGGGATGTTAACGATGGGAAAGGGGGAAGTTGCCAGACAATGATTCCGATTCAGATGAGCGGTGGGATATGGGTTGAGGATGAGATTGAGCAGGCGAGGGAGAAAGGTGCCGAGGATTCAAAGCTGTGGATGTGGCTCTGCGGTGACGACAAGGTGAGCACGATGAGGCAGGGCAAGCAACCATCTCTCGGGCCTACAACTATGATGAATTGGGATATGGTTGGGCTGAAGCGAGGATTCGATTTTATTGAGGAGAAGACTATATTTGTGAACGGGAAGGGTCCTTCGGCAGCTCTTTCTATGAATTATGGTGGCTGGCTTATAGCCGCCCAAGGTCCATGAGGGATGTTTCTTGCTGCTACCTGGGTTTGGGGGATCCATAGTGGTGTTTTGATCACCCCTCCTAGGTGCTACGCCTTTGTTGTGTCTTTTTGCTTTTAGGTTCTTCTTTGGGTGTCTTGTTATTTTTGCTTATTTCTTTCCTTGTTGTGTATCGTGTTTGTGATGATGGCTGGCTCATTTCTACTGTGATCAACGTTTTTCTGCAAGTTGGTTTTAACTCCCAAATGGTTCCTTTCCCTTCATCTATAGAAGGTTTTCTTGTAGCTGCAAGTTTAGCAGCATTGGCACCAAAGGAGTGGGTTCAATAAAGCTAGTCCTTGAACAACCACCCTCAATTGCTTCTTTTGTTGATCATGGTGGAAAAGTTGGCCAAATCACCTTCAACCTACGCGTTTGTTACATCGTTGTTTTGTTTGGTCTGTGTTTAGGTTTTTGTCTCTTCGGCTTTTTAGGGTTTGTTTAGTCTTTGTTCAACTTTTGTTCTGATAGTTTTTGCGTTAGTGTTTTTATTTGGTTCTCCTATAATGAAGTTCATCTTTCGATCGAAAAAAAGAGAAAAATGAAAGAGAAATTGAGATAATGACAGTAAAGTTTTCAAAAGAAAATTCATGATATTTAGGTTTTGGACAATTTTGAAAAATATGCAAATATTTTGAATTTAAATATTTTATTTACAATTAAAATTTTTAAATTTGCAACTATTTATATATATGTTTGAAAGTTCTTTAAAAAAATTATTCAGAGATCGAGCTTTAATTAATTTTTTTAGAACTTAATTGTCATGCGATGTTTGGTAAAAATAATAGAATCGGTAATTTAAGTAAAATTTGACAGGTCAACTCAAAAAATTTAAAATTAAACTTGAAAAAAATATTATTTTTGATGTATGGGTTTACTTGGGGCTCGAGAAAATTAGGATTAAACCCAAATACTCAAATAAAAAAATAAATTTTTAAAAAATATAATAAATATTAGTTAATTTTTTTAGTTATATATCATTTTATATTAAAATACTATATATTTAAATGCATTATTATTGTTATTTTTTTAAAAAATAAAATATTTATATTTTCATATTTTTATTATTTTTAATCAAAAAAATATTTCAAAATAATATTAAAAATATATTTAACATTAATTTTTATATTTTAAGATTCAATTTTTTAAAAAAATGTTTTGTGTCTTATGCATCATTTTCATATCCAAAAAATATATATTTTATATTTTTATAAAATAAGATAATTAATTTTAAAGTAATACTACTAGATAAACATAATAAATAAAATAATATTTTTAAAAAATTAATTATTGTTCATGCTAAATTTAGTTAAAAATTAAAAATAAATTAGAGTAAAAACTTATTGTATGTAAAGGTTAAACAATATAAAAAGTTAAAGAAAAAATAATTCAAAAAAATATTTTACTTATAGTTAAATAATTTTGTTTTATATAATATAATGATGACTATTTTTTTCATATTCTTAAAAATAAAAGTACAATTTACCTAAAAATTATTAAAAATTTTAAACTAATTGGAAATAATAATTTTGAGTTAGTAGTCTAACCGTGATTGATTTATTATCAACTGGATCATAATTAAAATAATTTAATTTAATTAAAATATATAAACTATTTATATATCACTATGATAAGAGTAATATTTAAACAATTAAAACATTAATTTATAAGTAAAGGAAACATTCATGAATAAATTATACATAGTATAATAAAACATTAACAGTGCTTCTTAAGTATAAAGTTGATAATTATTATTTTTTATTTTATTCTTTTAAAGTTAAAATAAAATTTTATGCTTAATAAAATTCTTTCAAAATTAAAATTAGTTTAAAAAATAAAAAAAATTTTAAAAAGTTTTGGGTTTCGGGCCGGCCCAAATAAACCCAAAAGTGTTAGGAGCCAGACCTGACTATATAAACTTTTTAGAAGGAATAAAATATTTTAAATCTAATATAAATAAGTCTGGCTCAAATTGAGTCTAACCTAAATAAACTCATCCCCCGAAAATTACTGGGTTTAAAGAGTAAGCTCTTGTTATAATTGTCTTAAATTCAGTGATAAAATTAATGCATAATTTTGATATTAAAAATAATGCATAATTTTCATGATAGAATAATTCGTTCTTTTTCTATTTTGGTCCAGTAAAACCATGTTTTTGCAACATTAGCGACATTTATCCTTCAATAAATTGTGATTCTTCGCCACGAATTATTTGGTTCAATGGTATGAGATTTTTATTTTCAAACAAGTTGTCGCCGATTCTATCCCCATGAGCCAAAAAATGGGTGAGAACTAAGTTAAGTGGGTGTGAAGGATTAATCAAGGGTGTTGCTTGCTGTGTATGAAGTGGGAGAATATTGCCATAAGTTAGAAAAACTAAAAAAAAAAAAAAACGAAAACGAAAAATTACATCTAAGACAACTTGATTGAGGACATTGAAAAATAAAAAATAATCATTTATAACTTGTTATTATAAGTTGTTATTTTTTTTTTTATAAGTTGTAAATGATAATTGTCTAATTGTCAATACTTTTAGTTAAGTTATAAATGTACGGGATTTAAAATTTGAGAATATTTTGTAAATTTTATGAGATTTTTTTATAATAAATTTTTTATATGGGACTTAAATGTAATTTTTTCTTAAAAATGTGATTCTTTAGCATTTCTAGCATAATAAAATGAAGAACTTAGAATCATTTTTGTCTCTTAACTGTAAGTGAAAGTCATTAAAAAATTTAAACTCAATTATGAATCAATTTTATCTCTTAATCTCAAAAAATTTGCCAACCATACCCTTGACATTAAGTTATACACTTTTTTTGTTATATGAATCCTATGTTTAAATTTTTTAATAATTTTTATTATAAAATGTTATATATTGGATCCTACATTTAAATTTTTAGAAAAATTATAATAAAATATTTTTAAAATATATAAATAATAATTTAATCTCTTAAAATTTTATAATTTTTTTGAAGTCTTTAGAAATTTTTACGTCATTAATAAATTTATAGAATTTATATAAGTTATTAAATTACTTTTATTGAAAATAAATGATTCACAATTTTTTTTTTAACTTCACAATAATACAATAACAAATTACAACTTTACATGTTAAATTTCTTATTTGCTGTTATATTGTTGTAAATATAAAAAAAAATTGTGAATCATTTATTTTTAATAAAGACAATTTGATATTTTATATAAATTTATTAATAATAAAAAAGTCTCTAAGTATTTTAAAAAAATTATAACATTTCGAGAGATCAAATTATTATCTACATATTTCAAATGAATTTTATTACGTTTTTCCTAAATTTTTTTAATGTTTTTACAATACAAAATTCTCTCCCCCCCCCCCCCCCCATTCATCTGTGTGTGTGTGTGTGTGTGTGTGTGTTCGTCTCTCCTTCATCTCACCCTCCCTCTCATCGCCTTCATCACCACCAGCGACCACAAGCAAATATTGTATAATAAGCCTAATACTGCTCATGGCGTCTCAGGTCTCTCTCCTCATCACCTTTGAACAGTCTCTCTACTCCATCACTTTCAAACACTCTCATCTCAGTTCGTGTGGCTTCTTGCCTCCTCCATTCTTGATTACTAATCCACTCTCTCTTTCGCCCTCTTCACCAGACTCGACCCGTACCCCGTTCCCTTTTCCTCCAATTCCTTCGCGCTGCTCTGATAGCACACCCTAACATGAACGTGTTCCTGTAGTACCCACTGGGAAGACCCGGTTCCAACCGTCCCCAGACAATTCCAGATGGCTTTGTGCACCGAGGTGCAACCGATAGCATGAACGGACAAGGGTGGTTTCTGATGAGAGTGTTACTCGTTGTGTGTGCGGAGCAACAAACGAACTCGATGTCGTCGAAGAAGACCTTGTGGAGGAGTTTTCTGATGAGATCCAAGGTGAAGGTAGCTTGAATGGTAGAAACTCCATGAGAGACCCTTTACTAAAGAAAGCTTATTGGAGTTGGAGCAGGAGGAAGAATAATTTGATTCACAATGATGATGATGAGAGGCATGGATAAAGCAAACCATAAGAAGAAGAAAGGAAGTAGAAGAGAGAGAAACTACAAATGATGCCATGGATCAAGATTGAAGACAAAGACTTTAATTTGCATTAGAGACTTGGATGAGGAGATGGTGC